CAATTTGGTATTGGAGTCGGTTGAACCGCTCTGTTGGCTCCTTCGCAATAGCGATTTGGTGCTTCGCTGGATATGGTGGGGCATTGATAACGCTTGTGCGTTAGTATAGTGGTGACCCAGTATCGTGTGGGCGCGCCAGGAAGGCTATCTGGTGACATAAGGGGTGCATGCTGGATGATGAGAGCTTGTTGACGTGGCATTTAAGCCGAGGTGGAACTGCATTGTATTGTGGGTTGCGCGGAGGCATCAACCGGTCGTCATAAATGCACGTCAGGTTACTGGTGAGAAATTTGTGGTTGGGGGCATCAATATGAGGTACATTGCTACTTACCTTATCTACCCTCTCTGTTGCTTCTTACCGTGAGGAAGTGAGTTATGTCTTAAGAGTCGTCTCATTGTGAGGTGTCGAGAACGATCAACCTTGAGAGTCGACATTTTTCCTGGCGAGCAAGCTGGTGGGAGATGGGCGTTGCCTCTGAATGGCCCCGAACGAAGCACTCGGGTCATGGTCACCATGCCAGCCCGCTGGGACTAGTACACGCATGCTTTGCTGCTTGTCCTTTGGTCAGCTTGGTGTGTTGTAGAGGTCATGTCATGCAGGCCAGCCCTATGAGGGAGAAATGAGTACCGGACCGTCTACAAACAGATTTCGGCGGGGATACCTAAATCGTGTTGTACGCGATTATAAAAATAGTACGGTCGGGGCTGTGGACAATTCTGCATTGACTTGAGGCACAAGGGTGGGCCTATGTATCACCCGCGTTCATGACCGCGGGCCATTTTACCCCCCGCGGTCGGGATCCAGCCCACGGCCGAGTGCGGGCATGAAACCCTAAGATTTTTTTCGGGGCTAAAAAATAGGCAAATATATATATATATATATACAGGGTTACCGGCGTTCGGGACAGGCCGAACGCCCGAACCCGAACGCCCGAACGTACGGGACCCCTTCGGGAGGCGTTCAACCTTTCGGGCCGAACGTGGACCCAAAAAAAAAAAACAAAAAAAAAACGAAGTTTTCAAAAAATTCCAAAAACAAACTGTGTTATGGAGAAAAATAAACTAAACAACATTTGCCTGATAACTACATCCAAATTCTTTACCAAATTTGAATTAAAAATTCAATACAGAAAATAAACACTATGATAAAAATTAAAAAAAATAAAAAGAGAATTAAAATGAGTGAGTGTGCCAGCACCTTTTCGACACCACCATCTTTGCCGATTTTTAATTATTTTTTGGCATTGACAAATGCCCTGAAAATTAACAGATATGTAGTTTACATAATCAATAACTCATTAAAAAGTTTTCAAAAAATAATAAAATTGTTTAGGCCCCAAAATAAAGTGAAAACAAAAAGTTAAAAGTGAAAAAAAATAAAAT